GAGCAACAGGCTCCACCAAGGATAAAGTTAAAGCATCATATTACTTTTTTAATTAAAATGCTTCCAAGCGTCTTTAATCTTTTCCAGATCAGACTAGAGGGCACCCTTCGGCCAACTAGTTTCAACTGTAACACCTTTAACAAATCAGAGTGATTCCTGACCCAGTCCCTTCCCCTCTGGCTCTCTTCCTGGCTGTCTACCTCTGCTTTGCCTCACTCACCTATCACCCTAGAAATGATCCTGAACAATAATTAATAGGAACATGAACCATCAGACAGACTCTTTCCTGACATGTGCTTCACTAGGTCACTAGGTCACAAATAATTCTGTTTTCCTACCTTTGATTACAATGTTGTGGTACATGACTACAAGCCATAGTCTATTCTTTTTGAAAGCTTAAGATAAAAATAAACCAAGTGTTTTATTAGAGTTTTATATTAAAGGGAAATAAACATGTAACCATAAATAATATCTTCTCCATATGATGTGTAGAAAAATCAAGTGGTTTTTGTTTTTTGTCTTTGGTTTTTTTCTTTGCACAGATATTATTAAAGTTGTAGGAGACAGGAGGAAAGTCTTTTGCTTCTATTTTATTTCATACAGCTAAATTAATGTCTTTTTTGCTTCTATTTTATTTCATACAGCTAAATATAAGGATAACAATGGCAAGCACTCAGTACAAAGTAAACACTCGCTGAAGTAGAATTTTTTTTCCAGTTACCAGAGGGCATGTGCTCTTACCAGAGAGACAGAGAGAGAGAAAGAGAAAGCACTGTCCAATTGGGCGTGGTCACGCCACAATCCTTTCTTTTCCATTCCTCCATTCCTGTCAAGATATTGAGCACACATGTGCATCTGCTTGGCACCAGAGCCAGGATTCCAACCACTATTGGTCATGTGAGATCTAGCTCCTTTAACCACTAGGCTATAAGGCTGGCTCATGCGGAATTTAAAGTTTGTTCTAAAATCATATGAATTTTAAAGTAACCCATATCATAAGGGACGAGCCACTCTTACCTACGATTTCTTACTCAGTATATACTGGACATGTCACTTGAGTTCGTATGCTTGAGTTTCCTTGCCTTTTCTCCACTGTTTCTGCTGATTCTACATAACTGAAGCTTCCTTTAAAGTAGTAGCTATTCCACTGAAAACAGTATCTTGATTATCTGCATTCAGTGGGATTTTCCAAAAATTATACATTCTGAGGAAAATATGCATGCAATTGAATGTATATGAGCTAGAAAGTGTAAATGAGCCCACAAAGAGTATTAACACACATTTCTATAGGATTTCAAAATTAAAAAGAAAATGCCAAAATTCAATCCTAGCAAGAACGTACCACTAGAATTCTCATATATATTGGGAGTGGAAAATGGCACAACCTCTTTAGAAAAGAAAACAGGGATGGAAGTTTCCATAGAGCATCCTACCCTCACACTCTCCCAATCATTGAGCAATTCTACTCCTACATTATTAAACCCCCCCAAAAAATAAAGCATATATCCAGGAAAAGATCTATATGGGAATGTTCACTATAACTTTATTCATAATAACCCAAACTAAAAATAACCAAAATGTCTATAAACAGGAGAATGGAAAAAAAATTATGGTATACTAATACAATGGAATACTATTCAGTAATAAACAGGAACATATTATTAATATACACAGCCACGTGATTTAATATCACAGATATTATGCTGAATAAGAGAAGCTAGACACACAAAGAATGCATACTGTATGATTCCATTTATAAAAAGTTTGAGAACGAACAAAACAAGTGGATGGTTAAGAAACTTAAACACTGGTTACATTTGATGGAGCATTATTGGTAAGAAAAAGGAACAAGGGAACTTTCTCTTTTTTGAGAGAGAGAGAGAGAGAGAGATTTTTGCTATAGGGTGCATGTACTCACCAGACGGACAGAGAAGCAAAAAGTGAGAAATGGCTGTGATGTAACCCCTTCTCCTCCACTCTCCTCTATGGATTTGGGACACACACACACACACACACACACACACACACACACACACGTCCAACATGAGTTTTAAGCCACTGGGTCTAGGACTCAAACTGCGGCCGACTATGTGGGACTCAGGCTACATGACCATTACACCATCCGCTGGTCCTGGAGCAAGGGAACTTCCTGGGATGCAAGAAATGATCTGTACCTAAAGAGGAGTGTCTGGCATCATGTACTTGAACTGCTGCACTGAGAAGGGCACAGGATTACTTCATCAGTGTTATTATCACAAGTATATAGCCTGAATTTAATCATGAAGGAACATTAGAAAACCCCAATTGATGGGCATTTTTTTATAGGTCTTTTTTCCCATAGGGAGCATGCACTCACCAGAGAGAGAGACAGTGAAAGGGAAAGTGAGAAATCACCCCAGGGAGATAGACACACCACAATCCCTTCTTCACCATTCTCCTCTCAGGATTTTGGGTATGCACACACACATCCCCAGCGTGATTTTCAAGTGACAAGCCCCAGGACTCGAACCACAGGCCACCATGAGAGAATCCAATGCCTTAACCACCACACTACCTGCTGGCCCCCAGTGGGCATTCTTCAAAATAACCAGCAAGTACTCTTCAAAAATGCCATAGTTACAAAAGAGAAACAAAGCTACAAGATCATTCCAAGTTAAGCAAAGGAGGCAAAAGAGACTGACAAACTACGTAACTTCATAAGTTCTTTTTTCTTAGTTGGCCTACTACAGTTTCCCTTCTTATTCATTTGTTCATTTGTTTATTCATATTACCATTACTTTTGAATTTTTAGATGACATTATTCATGATTCTGAATCTCAAATAAGGAGGGAAAAAAATAGCCATAAAAGGCTTTACTGGGACAACTGCTACAATTTAAATTTGGGTTGTGGATTAGATATTAGATATTATCTCTTGGTATTACATGTTAATTATCTTGATTTAGGGGTATATGTTGTGGTTATATAGAAATACATCTGAACTTAGAAAATACATGGGATATATTTATAGGGATATAATGTCTCCTACTTTCTCTCAAGTGATTAAGAAAGAAAGGATAAATCAAAGTGAAAAGGATAGAATGATAAAGTAAATGAGGCAAAATGTAAGCAAATGATGAATCAGCTGTTATATAAAATATCCTTGTATTATTTTTATAATTTTTCTGTAAGTTTGGAATTGTAGCAAATGAAAGCTATCCACCCCCCCAAAAAAAGCACACAGAAATTATAAAACTACATAGATGGTCCATCTTTATAAAGGCAACAACAATTCTCAAACTTATATTCCAAAGAACAATAATAGATTTTTTGAAAGAAAAAAGATTCTATGACTAATAAACACGTTCACTTTAATCCCTTCTTGAAGAGAAGGGCTACATGCATTTTAATAAAGAAACCTATTTAACCGGATTTAATCCAAAGTTTCTACAATGATCTGTTTAGGAAACCTTGTTAAAATGGAACACCCATTAAAATCTTACCAAAACATAAATATTCCATGGAAAACTGTTGGAGAACCACTTGTCTAGTAAATACATTTCCTGTACACAGTTAATTAAAGAAAGATTTGTGTTAGGAAAATAAGAAGGAAAAAGGGTGACACACAAATATACACACATTAAAGCAGGTCAGGTTCAACTAGTAAGAGAAAAATGACATGTATCCTGCAAAAGGAAAAAAGCATATCTCTCAACCACTCTGCCCAAGCCTACACAGTGTATTCTTACAAGAGTGCAATCTTACAGGATGCTTCTTTTATTTTTTTAAGGATTATGCCATAAGGTATGCATGCTTGTCAGAGGCAGAAACAGATAGAGAGACAGTGAGAAAGAAATCACCTCCCAGGGACAACGGCCATGCTGCAATCCCTTCTCCTCTATTCTCCTTCTGGGATTTCAGGCACATGGGGCCATGCTCTCAGCATGATTTTTAAGTCATCATTCTGGGACTTGGAGTCTAGCACCCTACCCACCATGCCATCTGCTGGCCCTCAGTGTATATTTTACACAGTATAGATATTTGAAAACTGAGCTTTAGTTTTAGTCAGTCATTAAATTGAACATGCTACGTACGCTTCATGTTATTTGGTATCTGACTCATCCCATGAACTGTACAGCAGATGAGCTTCCCAGCCTTAGTGCGTGCCCACTGCAGGGTGGCACTGTGCAAAGCTCAGATAATGAAATGATGAATAAGACACAGCTCCAGACAACCATGAGCTTTCAGTCTAATGAGAGGCGTGGAACAATGAACACATCCAATGAGAACTATGGTATTCCAGAATAAGTATCAGACTTTATGGGAACATCAAAGGGTACTTGATAGGCAGAGAGAAATAAGGGAAGGTTTCCTGAAGGAAATGATATTAAGCTAAAATAAGTTAATGTATGTCAATTTTTTTTCAAAAAGTATTCAAATGTATTTTTTTAATTTTTGTCACCCATTATTAGGTTTTCTCTCACAAGTGGCACCATATGGTAAAAAGAGAAAAAGAGGACCATCAGATGGTTATAGCACTGGACTCCCATGTAGCTGACCACAGTTCGAGTCCCAGACCCAGTGACTTAAAACTTGCATCGGGTGTGTGTACATGTGTGCCCAAAATCTCAAAAGGAGAATGGAAGAAAAGGGATTGCGGTGTGGTCATCCCCCTGGAGGGTGATTTCCCACTTTCAATCTCTCCATCTCTCTCTGTCTCTCTGGTGAGTGCACACACCCCCTAGCAAAAATGTCTCCAAAAAAAGAAGGAAAAAAGAAAAAGAAACTATTTCCATTAGCTATTCAAATAGATCCAATTCAAAAAATACAAAATCTAAGAACTGTGACACTGAAATGGCCCAAACAATCATCTTAACATTCTTTCAAAAGCACCTCTTGACTTACCTAGGTATTCAAGAGTAGGAGTAACATACTTCGAAGAGAAAAAGACATAAAGGAACAAACTGAGAAAATCAGAAATAGAACAGTATGGAAAGGCAAGAAGTGATAAGTATTGTTTACCTGTCAGCTGACATTGATTAATCTTGTGTTCTGTGATATCGCTCAGTGATTCAAACACCTGGAGGCAGCTGTCACAGCTGTGCACAGCTTCATCTTCCAATTCCTCCCCGTCTTCCGGCCTCTTCTTACAATCTATTGCCTCTCCATCTTCAGTCTTGTCTTCAAGTTTACAGTTGGGGTCTGAAAGAAAATCAGGACTGTAAGTACAGGGTTTAAAGACAGGTACATTTAAAGTAACATTTAATCTTCTTGCTACCAAAAACGGAAACACCATTTTCCTTGAAGCTGCAATATAGAGGGCTTCCATGCAGATCTTACTACAGAAGAATCAAAAGTGAGCCTTTCCTAAGATGTTTCAGTTTGTGATTATTCAAGGAGTTTTTCCTTTTTCTCACTACCTAGCCCTTTTTGTACCTCTCCCTTCAAATAACTTGTCCAGATTAATGTAAGATTAACATTAACATTTTCTCACAGCCTGTTAGCAGTTTTCGCTTAAAAGAGAAAGATAAATCACTTTTAAAATTAAACAGTCTCCAATACAAAGGGAAAAAAAGCTGCTTAAGAATGAACTCCTATCTGCTAAATATACTTTTTTATTGAAAATTACCAAAATTAGCCAATGTCTAGAATAAGCTAAGTGTAATACATTACCATAGGCACAAAATCGACCTTTACTTATAAACTGGTCAAAACACAGTTACTCCATTATTTGTTAGACAGCAACAGCAAAAATAAGCTCCACCACATGGCATAACATTCTTATAAATTTGAGTGTAAATTTATATTAAAAAGGAGAAACAAAACATAAAAAAAAGCAATTATAAATTATAATCAAGTCAACAACTTGAGCTGGTATTATCAATATTGAAAAGTTAAATATTGTGAAAATTAAAAATAGTTTCATATTACCCTAAGAATGATGCAGCAACATCAGTGACAATAAAGAATTAAGCAAACATATTGCTTTTATTTAGGGGTAATAAACACCTGTTGGTCATTAATGCTGTCCTTTGAATCCAGTTAGAGAAGTTCTCCAAAATACCCTGGTATCATTGTAGGTTTTTGCATAAAAGCAAAGAAGGAGATGGGAAGGAGAGAGAATGGGGGCAGGGGTACAAATTAGAAAGAGAGAAAGAGTATCCCTAATTTCAGGAAAATTAGGATTAATATGATCAGTGACTTATCTATGAAACACTAATTTCTAACAGCACAAAGTCCTCAAAGTCAGAAATTTTAAAAAAGTAAAATCAAACTAGAGATTTCTATTTTCTATAAGACCGTTGACCAGTCAATGAAATAATTACAAGGAGTTATATTGGGGCCAGCCGATGGTGGTCATTACTTCGCTGCAGGCTCCATAGCCAACCCCAGTTCAAGTCCTGGACCCGGTGGCTTGAAAGTCATGCTGGGTACATGTGCATGTGTGCCCAAGATCCAGGAGGAGCATGGAGGAGAAGGGACTGTGGCATGCCCATCGACCTGGGGAAGGGGGGCTGATTTCTCACTTTCCCTGTCTTTCTCTCTGTATCTCTATCTATTTGGTGAGTACACATGCCCTAAGACAAAAACCTTTCTTTATCTATTCAGTGAGTACACATGCCCTAAGACAAAAACCTCTTTAAAAACAAAAAGTTATATCAAGATGCCTAAGAAATATGTAATGCATTATTTATAATCATTTTATATGATTACAATATTAATTTTAACATGACAACAATAAGTGTGATGATTTATATAAGTATATTTAACATTTGTACTATGTCTCTAAAATACCTGAAATATTACAACCAAGAATCCACAGAATCAAAATTAGCCTTTATTTCTTAGAGAAGACCCTACATGACACCACACCACCATCCTGCTGTCTGAAAGCACTTTCTGCTCGCTTGCATGTAACACACATCTATGAACCTGACTTCTACAAGTTCTGCATCCTTCTTTGTCTGGCAGTTGTGTCGAGTCTTTTCTTCACATCAGTAATAAACTTGACTATTATCACCACCCTTCAAATGATTCACATATGCCGAAATCAACTTATATCTCAACATATATAAGAATCTCTGGCACTCATGATAAAAATAAACAGACAAAAGCAGAATTCTCTTCTTAAAGAGCAAGTAGTTTTGTTTGTTAGTTTTTTGGGGTTTTTTTGTTTTTTGTTTTTAAAGAACACAGTGTTTAAGTAAATGGGTAATTTGGGTTGATTTGCCATCTGGAAAATTATTATCTCAACACTCTACACAATGCCCATTTCTATATACTGGGATTTCTACTGCTCATTCCTGAGGGAGTACTCACAGGATCTCTTGTGCTTGTCTTACATTTTGCCCAGCACAGCATCATGTCCAGGTGAGTGCTTAGTAAATATTATTTAGTGGTGGTGAGGAAGGGAAGGGAAAACAGAAGAAAGTACCTGAAAAAGTCCTTTACTGGTATTTTTTTTTGAAAACAGGAATAGGCCAGTTACCTTCAAATTAAAAAGCACCTACAAGCCTACATTTTCCAAAACTGCCACTCTATGACCTAACTATCACATTGGAGTTCACTGCTTTCAAATGTCTCACCCAGATCTACAGAGGCAACATTCAGGTAACATTCCAAAGGATCTCCAACAAACTAAAGCCCAGTGGTAAAATCCTGCCAAATTAGAGAGCAGTTCTGAAAAATAAATAACTGCCCCAACTATGGCAAACTGACCCCCTGCCATTAAACACTTGTTGGGAAGCAGCAAGCAGACACTGAGTACTTAGTTGTTCAGCATGACTTCCAGTTTCTCAAAAAAGAAAAAAAAACTGACAGCACTCAGGGAAAGGTGGGTGTTTGGTCTGAATTTTAAGATGATTATTTAAATGCTACACGTCAAGTTTGCAGACCTGTTTGTTTTTAAATAAGGAGACTCTCTGAATACTTTAAGTAGTATGCAGAGAAAAATGATAAAAACTCAACTCCCTTATTCAAGAATATGAACACTTTACACAAATCCAGTACCAAAAATGCAATACCAAACAAATAAGAATGCATACTACTTTAGCTCTTAAAAGCTAAAGAATGACCCCAGTCCATGCTTCTGACACTGTGGCTAGTTATTAAAATGAGGGTCATTTTAAGACTAATAAAAAATGTTTTTGCTTCCACTTCTGCATTTACAGATAGAACTCTTCAGGGACTGAAGTCAGTCAAGCTTATTCACTTCTGCTGCAACTTTAGGATGCATGCTCCAGCCAACTGGCGAATTTGTTTTTAGGTCAACACTTAAGAGAGACCCTCTGGGAGGTGGGTTCGATTATAGCCTATGATGCTTTGGTGTAATGAGTACTGGAATCTCAGTCTCTCTCCTTGTAAGATTTTTCCAACCTCTACTTTCAAGAAAAATTCTTTCTTGCCCACTCAAAAGACATATTTATTTTTGTTCGGGGTTTTCATTCCTAATGCCAGTTGCAGGAAGATTCTAGAAAGCTTACATTGTCAACCATTTCTTTCCCACAGGTGGCCACACTTCAATAATTGCACATGGCCTTCATGATGTAGTTTTTATAAAGTCCTCTGAGAGTCAATCATAAAAAATAATTGTATTACTCTGCTAGCCATTCAAACCTCTTACTTCAACCTAAAGGATTATAAATACAAGGTCCATGCCTGTAAGCACTGCCCTGCCCCCACCATCACTGCATGAAGGACAATTGTTCTTCCAGCTCCATTGTTGTGCTATAAACCTACCCAAAGGGCAGTATTTATAAATACCCCCATACCACCTACACTGCAACAAAACCCTTCAGAGCTACAGACACCACTCGCCCTGCCCTGCCCTAAAGGATGGCGCCCAAGCATGCTACATGCATCACCAATGATCTCCCCTGTCCAATCAACTTTCCAGCTCATCCCTTCACAAGGGTGCTGTGGAGGACTGGATCTATAGTGTTTTGATCTGAATACAAGGCTGAAGCTTGAAACAGACACCATTACGAAAATAAATGGCAGCTTTCTGTTTCTAATTTGGTTAATATCACTCATAAATGGAAATTTAAAATAAGTATGATTTTTCCCCTTTATTCTATTCTCTGGCAGGTGGTTCTTTCCTTCTTCTCATCCTCCTCTTCATAGGGACTGTTATTGCTATAACTTGGTTTAATAAAATTACAACTTTGGGGAAAATGAAAAACTGCACTGGCTTAAAAGTGTTGGAAGCAATAAACCCATGGACTTCAATTAATTTCAAGTGTGGGATCAGTTTAAGGCCAACCAGCAGAAATTCTATTCTGTCCATGTAAAAATGAGGTTTCACCACATTTACTTTTTATAACCTATATAAAAGTCAAGTAAAAGTAATGAATATCTAAAAGCCATCTCAGTGGACTGGCAAAGACTATCTGTATTCTTGAAACTCATCTTACATATTTCTCTCTGTGCAACAAGGATCCCTTGCCTGATCAAAGCTAAAATGTCAAACTACTGAGAAAACAGCCCAATTTCCAATCCATTTCACTGCCTAGAAATGGACCTCCTTCCAAGCCACTTTTGCATGGAAAAGCACTGGCAAAAGAAAGAAAAACTAAGAGATCATGTGGTTATAATTATTACCAGGCAAGGAATATTTCTGCAGCTCAGTGGTAAAGTAAAACTCTGTCGCTCTCTGCTCCCAATAGTGTCCATCGCAAAACAACTGCCTCATTAAATCTCTGCAGTAAGATTAATATGCCGTAGCTGCACTACATTTATAACTTGGTACTCTATAAAAAGCACATTTAATGGTAAGAGCCAGAGCCTAGATACAAAGTATTACTATAAAAACTTCTGGCAGCCAGTACACAGTGCAGGCCCTCTGTCTTTCTTGCAGGAGATATAAATGAGGCTTTTCCTGGTTAATTCCAACATGAAGCCCTACCTTAAAAACCAGAGTAAGTTTTTATGAGAGTGGCAGGAACACAAGATTCTAAGGATGATGTAAACATGAATGCAAGAAGATTACTTAACAAGTGGGATTGGCAAGAGATGAATGAATCCAAAATACTCCACTTATACACATGCATACTTAAAACTGGACCATTTCCTAACAGTTTGTTCTCTGGGTATAGCCAGCTTTTCACCAAATTAAATAACTATGGTATGAATTACTCCATCTTAAGTCAACCAACACAGTGCCAAGCGAGTTCAAGAAATTACAACAATGACTGTGACCTCCT